GGATCGAGAGTACCGTCAAAGGTTGGGGCATCGACCTTAATGTTCTTCAACAAAAGTGTATCAAGATCGTTATTTAGGTCATGATCGTACTGGAGCTCGATAAGGGGCACACCGGTGTCCCACATCCCATAAAGTGTCGTCCCCATACATGGGAGGCCTAGAAGATGTGTAAGGTGTAGGATGATTCCTAACTCGATCTAGTGTGTCAAATCGTTCCGTCATTTGGCGATGGAGCTCAACTAGATCGGTTTGCTTTTCTCTAATTTGTTGACTGATCGTGCTCATTTGACCTACCAATAGATCTAAAGTCCTATGAATCTATTCTGGGTCCATCCTATGTCTAAGGGTGACTCAAAATTATGCAGATTTGAAAGAAAAAAGAATATGATAACATGTAAATAATTATAATGCGTGTAAGATACGATTTAGATGCTAAAACATGTAAGAAAGAAATCCTAATAGGCACCTAAATGTAACCATGCTCTAATACCAAATGATATAGGACTAAATGTGTTTGTTGATGGTTTACCTTTGAAATTATATTCTTTTGAAAGAGCAAGTGCAATTAATCACTTCCAACGATTTAAACGATGAATGAAAACAATAAAACAGTGATTTAGTTCAAGCAATTAATTATATGATAAAGATTTAGAGCACAAAATAACCAATCAAATCAGATTTTGCTTAATATGGGGCTTTCTAAAGAAATCCCTTAATTATCATTTAGAGTAGTCACTGTTTAAGATCCCTCACTCTCACTTTTAATGAGTCGTTATGCGGAGAAAGTTTGCATGATCTTTATGATGCCACAATTGAGAGGTACTTGGAAGAAATAAGATTCGGGAGAGAGTTCATCTTTGTCAGGATTCGGAAGAAAGTTGCCACTGAACAGGTGGTTGTCATTGATCGATAGCGGTGGCAAGGGAAAAGAGGATTCATTCCACGTAATCTTCAACGTAGAGGTCGTTCTCTTGTTCAATGTCGAAGAAAACATATCGGTGAATGTCAATGAACCCTTGGTCGTCGAGTATGAAGTCGTGCTCACGTTCAGGATTGGCCATCCACGAGTAAGGAGGCCTAACAAGGTGTTGGGGAGGGAGAAGTTTTGTTTCTTCTTCCTTAGGTGAAGTACCAAGCATAGGAGAGGAGATGTAAAGGAGGAGGGGGAGCTTGGGTGGTCGGCCAAAGTTAGGAGAAGAGGGCTGATTTTTTATTTCAGAGTTGTGCTGTTGGTTAGGAAGGAATTAATTCAAATTTCTGAAATTAATTTTAGTTTTGATGATGGAGATAATTAGGGAAATTGATTTAATTTCCCTATAATAAATGAGAGAATGAGAGAAGAGGGGCGGCGGCTACCTTTAATGGGCATTGATTGGGGAGTTAATTAGGAGCATTAATGGAAGTAGAATTTAGAGAAAAGAGTGGGTAGGGCGGCGGCTAAGGGAGGGAGGGAGGAGTTTATGAGAATTTCAAATAGTTTCCAAACAAAGCAAGTTAAATTAAAAGAGATTTAATGTCTATATCTCCTTTAATTTGAATTCAATTTCAAATTGATTTGATTGAGAGACTTTATAAATATAACTCATTTCAATTAGGAAAGAATTCAAAGTTGAAATTGATTCAAAATTAAATGAATTATCCTTTCAAATTCATCATGATCTAATTTAGGAAAGTAGTAAAGGCTAGGGAAATTTTGGATCCAATGAAAGAGTGGAAGTGGCCGGCAGCTAGGGTTTAGGGAGAGGGAGGCCGGAGGAGGCTATTGGAGGGGTGGGGCTTGGGGCTAGGTGGAGTTAGGATTGGCGATTTGGAGCTTTGGGCTGGCAGTTTAGATGGAAAGGAGGTGGTGGCCAGCAGTTTGGAGGGGAATGAGGAGTTGGACCGTGAGCCCGGATGCTTCCTGCGGTTGATGGTTTGTACTTTGCCCTCACATTGAGACTTCAACTATCACAAAAACTCTCAAGCTCTCCCAAAACACAAGTGCAAAATTTTCTTTTCATAATAATCATCATCCCCTCAAAAGGAAGAGGGAGCTTTAAATAGCCAAAATACAATAGCAAGATAAAAAACAAAAGTCCCCTTAATGGTCACAAATAACTACTCCCCCAAATGAGGGTAAAAACGGAAAAACTACGATAATAAATTAAATACACATATAATAATAATAATAAATCTAATACAATTGATAGCTCAAAAATAAAGTGGTGCGATCGTGGCCGTAGATCGTCGGCCCCTTCTCTGGTAGACTCTTCATGGTCGGATATCCTTATCAATTGCACTTCCTATATATATTAGGAATTTAGAAAATATTTTTTAAACTTATATACTGCATACATTTTTGACAGTTTTATTTTTAACGAATGTGAAGAGTTCAAAGAAGAGATTGCATCATCAATTAGATATCACACAGGGAGATCAAGGCTCCTAGAATTAAACCATTGATTGAAGATCAGAGGGCAACACATAAAGTGTTAGTAGGCCAATGATCAACCTTTGGTTAGGGCTGAATCAGGACAAAAAAGCTATATTTTGTTTTTTAAATTTGATGTTCTATAGTTTGTGATTTCTCAGTAGTGTTTTCCTCCTTTTTACAGTTTGTTTAGTATCTATAAAATTGTTTATTCTTAGTATCATTTTTGCCAATAAATGAGCTTCTAATCCTAAAATAGAATTTACCTAGAATTCTCACAAAATTCTTCTAGCATGTGTCGGCTCACATTGGACCACTTAACTTGTGTGTATCTGGTCATGATAACCAATTTTTGAACCTATTTTTGGATGTATTGGCCATGATGGATATCATAATGAAGAGGAGCACCCCTTTCATTCATATGCTAATGTCTTGATGGACTTGGTGAACAAAACCATGGTATAATAACTCGGGATGATGGCTCGTTGTCCCTTCAATTGACGTTTAAAAGGCACTCCTTCACACAAAGTACATCATCTGAATTTGGCTTAGGGCGAATGCCACAAAGCCCCTTTGATCTTCACTTTTTTATCACCTCTACCATAGATGGTTGGGTTGAATTTGAGTGGCAAATAACACATATTCTTGGTGGGTATCTACAAAATTGTATACACTGGTGGGGAAGTGATTGCATAAAATTTTACAAGGAGTGCAAATCGGCCTGAGTATTTAGAATATCAAGTTAGGAGTAGCGGTTGGATGGTAATTTAGTTCTTTCAATAATAACTAAACAATCAAATAAATAACATCTAAAATCTTGAAAATAGCCACTACGCATCAATTACTAGTTTGAATAAATATAACACAATTCATATCTATTTTATTTGAATCTCTTCGTTTGTACACAGTAGCATTCCCGGTTAGCCTTTTACTCTTTGCCTTACCTAAATTTTCTTAGAACTTGTTTGCTTTTAATGCTTTACATCAATTATACTTCTCATTTTTTTTACCGCGTAAAACAACATTAACAATGTTAACCAACATAAAAAAATAATGCCATAGGTGAACATTATTAAGGGCAACATCGAACGCATTAAACATTGCCAAAGACAATGTCGAATGCATCCAATTATAATGCATATTCCTAATTACATTATATATCATATTTTATAAAATGATTGAAATGATTAATTAAATTGCATTTCTTACTTCCGATATTGTTTTTTGGTTGAACTAAGACTACAGATCGTACCGTCTTTTTTTTTTTTTGTCAATAAATCATAAGTTAAATCAAATCATAAATCTCCTTTTTTTCAAACATGAAATTTGTTTGTCCAATCTCCTTCTCACTTCTTTTGATTCGAGCAATCAATTCAACCTCATTTTTGCCTCCAATTCTAGCAAATAAATCGTACGAACTATCACAACCCGGCTTAGAAGCTTAAGTTTATGAGAGGGGACTAGACGATCAGACGAATATCATAGCTTTCAATAACAATAATTACTCAATAAACTAATATTCAAATATAATTGTTCATGAAACCTTTCTTAACAATTTTTACGCCAAAACAAATTCCAATTTAAAAATAGGCTAAAACAATTTTTATCTATTTCAGTTGACTCATTTCTTCTATTCACGAAACCTTCACGATTAGTCATTTCATCAATAGGGAGTTTACATGAAAAGTTTAATTTAATAATTTTGAGTTTTTAATAACAAACTTAGTAGTTAATTATAGTTTATAGTTTATCAATAAAATCTGCATATAAGTAGTTAAACTAATTTATCTATTCATTGAACATACATATAAATATTTAATAGAACAACATCAAGCTTTTATCTCACTATGTGGGGTCGGCTATATGAATCCTTTTTCTCCATTGTGTTCTATTAAGAGTCAAATTTTCATTTAAATCTAATAAAGAAAGTTCATTTCTAATATTTTTTAACTAAGTCTTTTTAGGTCTACCTCTACCTTTTTTAACATAAGTCAAATCTAATACATTTACTTTCCTAACTAGGTCATCAGAAGGCCTCCATTTTAAGTGGCCAAACCATCTAAGTCGACTCTCTCTAATCTTATCTTCCATTGGAACTACTCCAATATTTTCACATATATGCTCATTTTGTAGCCTGTCTCTATGAGCAAAACCATTCATCCACCTGAGCATCCTTATCTCTGCAACACTTAACTTAATATTACACTTCTCTTTTAATTGCCAACATTCTATACCATAAAACATTGCACGTCTCATCACATCTTATAGAATTTTCCCTTAAATTTGAGGGGGAAATTTTTATCACACAACATGCCTGATGCATTCCTCCACTTCAACCGTCCAACTTGAATTCTACTAATAATATTCTCATCTACACATCACTATGAACAATAAACCCAACATATAATATTTAATATGAATTTAAATATTACAATTTGTTGATTGATAAAACATTCTTTAAAATTTTCATTTCTTTTAAGTTTTACTCTTTTAATATTTCATTTTTTACAGGAACACCGTTTAAATTTTATATTAATGAGGGTACAACTATTTTCATTTTTGTTATTTTTTTTTCATTTATCTTGGACAGGTATGTCGCATTCCCAACCAATTCCATAAAGAGGTGAACTCTTGTCTTTGCATGCATTTACCTTATCCATTTCAACAATTTTCTATTTCCTTATAGGAGTTCATTGTATTCATTTCATTTCCTTTTCATACACATATCAATTTATATCAGTTTTGACATTACATACATACCATATTATTAACTATGATTATTTAGTTTTACGTCATTTAATGTATGGTAGTTCCTGTAGAATTCCACGTCTACATACATTATATAATATGAAATAGTTGCATTGAACAAAATAAAAAAAAATGTTAATGGTATAAAATAAATATAATAACCCATTTCACTGTTTTTTGTGCAGAAATTATTCCAAATTCCTTCGGTTCTTAAGTGGCTTATTTAATGCAACACCTAAGGTCACGTACATAATTACATGAATATGCATAATGATCTTAAAATTATACTTTCATTAACTTCAAATTAATTCTCCATTAACATATATAATTCTTACCTAAGCTTTTACTTAGAACTTTTGTTGGCTTCTGTATTTTGCCTCAGCTTAATTTCCCCACTATTCAAAATAAAAGATTTAACTTGGAGAATTTAAATATTGTCAAAACAATATCATATGTTTCATACATTTTTAAAGATAGCGTGAATATCTCAAATAAAATTTTCTTTTTGTCAAATCAAGGCTTCTCATGCAGTGGGATAAATGCTTGATATTGTTGTTATCAAATCAAAGCTTTCTCCGACTTTACTTATTCTTGTGTAAGATTTAAGAATAGTAGATTAAGAAAAAAATCACACAACATAAATTTTTCCTTCTAATTTGAACAGAAATTACTTACTCTTTCACTGTCATTGAAATGGAAATTCACCTTCCTCTTTCTTCTTCATTTCGTCAAGCATATAGATTATTTAACAAACTTCAAAAATACAAAAACTATCCTTCTTCTTCAACTTTCTCTTTTACAATGTCTCTCTCTTTCTCTTCTTCTGACTTTTCTCCCAAAATGAGCAAAATCGGTCATTTACCCATGCATGGAGTCGCGTCGATCACTATTCGCTTGCAATCGTTCGCTTCGCTTTGCCCCAGCCTGCTCGCTCATGCGGTTTAGCTGCTCGTTTGCTTGCCCGATCATTATCGCACTCGCCTGCTCGTCTTGATGGATTCACTACAGAACCGGTTCGACGGAATTGATCCGTTTAGATATTACTCGAACTCCCCTATTTCCTCTCTTGATTTTAGTTCCAACAAACAGATCAACTTCCTAATCTTCTCCTTCTTCAATTTCCGTAACACAGAATGGAATAGGTCATTCCCTCTTTTTCCCTATCTTCGATCAAAGCTGCTAAACAGCCCTGAACCAGCCAAATGCTCCTCTACCTTCACGTCTGTCTTCACTTGCTCGTAGTTGAATACCTCTTCTCCTTCTTCATCTTGGTCGAACACTTCATTGTTCAAATCCGAACAACCCTCTTTTTTTTCCGATTGAAGCACATAAATCCTTCACCTTCATCTTCAACTTTGCTGATTGTGATCTGCTCCATTGAACTTCAGAACCCGTCCAAATCCATGCTAGCGAATTACGGAGGAACAAGGGTCAGATTTCAACTTGGCTGTTGATGTGCCAAAGGAGCAAATTAGAATATAGGAAGAGGATCTGGTTTGAACAGCAAATTAAAGGCCAAAACCTGAGAGAGGTTTTCTACATCATAAAGTAATACTCAAGGTTCTTTAAGTTGATTTATAGAACTGTAGAAAACCTCCAGAAAATTTTATTAAGTTCTAATCCTCTTTTAGTTTCTTAATCATGGACCTTGGTTCCTATTAAGGAGTAGGTTTGGATCATCTTAATAACCTATGTCCAATGGATTAGTCGAGACTTGTATTTCCATCTATGTTTTGGTACAATGTTGCTATTCTTTTGAGTTAGCTTATTTTTTATATATCCTAATTGATTTAGTTTCATCTCCAGTCTCTACTCTAACTTGGATTACATGGATTTGCTTATTGTTATAAAAATGCAGACAATCATTAAAAGTTACTAGAACAACATCTTCAAGTCCATTGATTAAACCAAAGTCTCTTACTTTTCTGAATGGAAACAAAAAGTATGAGCCAGTATCTAATACGAATGATTGTATTTGTGCTTGATCTTTAAGCTTTTGTCCGAGATGAAAGATTGATAGATTTCCTTGCCATTATTGATTTTGTTTGTTTACTTTTTGTTGAACATGATTGGTAATTTTACTGATTGGTGAGTATTCCTACTTTTTAATCTTTCTTTTTTATCTCCTCCTTTATCAGGATAGAATTAAGAGATGAATACAGACTAGAAAATCGGAGAGCTTTTGGAAATATCTGGTCGGATATGATTTATGGAGTAACTTTATTCATTCTAATTTACGCAAATAAAAGCAAAGTAAGTTAGCAGATTGGTTAGCTTGTCAATTCCTTTTTTTTTTAATTAGCATGAATTGTATTCTTAAAATTGTTGAAAAGGTTTCCTTTTTCTTTTTTTAAATTGTCATTAACATTATTGTTGTATGTGCTGCACCGACAATTTCGTCCACTTTTATTGATTGACATTATTTGGATTTCCATTTGAATTTCAAGAGTGAGAATATTTGAAGCAATTCATTCAACAACTTTAAGTTCAGTTAAAAATCTTATCTTTTTGTTTTCATACATTATAGTTATTCTACTCTAGCCTAGGGTCCTTTGAGGCTTTTTAGAAAACCGGGCAATTAAGATGCTTAAATCCTAGAAGTAAATTATATATTCTTCATTGACCCAAACTAGCTTTTTTAATTGATGCTGGGCTTAGTGGGAGGGCTTCTTGCTTAGGGTTGTTGTCGTGGGCGGCTCCATCATTTCTCCCTATTGTGCTTTTCTTGCTGGTTTGCTAATTAATGGCTATGGTTTTACTCCCTGACTATGTTGCCTTGGTTAGAGAGAGAGACTCTGAGATTACAAAATTCTGTTATTTTGAAATCTCTATTTTCGCGGCTTCGTCGTCGGCTCAATGACGACGAACAGTTGTCGGCCACCAGCGGCCGTCGGCGGGATGGATGATCGTCGTTCAACAGGACGTGCTATCTTTAGAGGAGCTCGAGATGTTTCATCGTCACCACCGGCATTTGGAGATGATAGATCGTTGGTTTTTAATGGTTTAAAAAATGGTGCTATGGGGAACAAACCTTTAACCATTAATGAAGGAGGTCAAATGATGAAGAAACAATTTCTGGAAGTACCTGGTAAGGGGAAAGGTAAAATCATAGAAGAGACTATGGAGAAGACGGGATGGCCAGTAAAGTTACTTAATGAGAAGAATAATTCTATGGTGTCTAGAGCCTATCTGAGAACAATCATATGGAAGATGGTTTGTTGAATGAAGACAATGATAACTTGAATTCACTGGTGAAGGAGTCCACGAAAGTTAATGAATTGGTTCACCCTGGAATGAGGGAAGGTAATACAGATGATGTTAGTAAGAAGAAATCAGATCTGGAAGAAGTCTGGGTATGCACTTGTTGACCCTAATATTAGTGTCGGATCGAGTCGATCGCGCAAGGAGGGTTTCAAAAGCGAAAGAGCTCGAAATCGCGCAAAAACTCACCCGACGCGTGTCGACCGAAAAAACCAAAATCGTCGAAATCGCGAAACGGACAACGCCGATGCGTCCGGAGCAACGAAAATAGTTAAGATCGACACCCATATTGGTGGGGGTCGTCGGTCGGCGAAAAATTAAATTTTTGGGTGCGCGAATCGAGACAGCGACTTGTGCGAGCGGCGACGCGACGATCATCTCGATGCAAGATTAAAAATTTATTTTTATTTTTGTGCAATATAATTAAAAAAAAATTTAGAAAAAAAGAGGGAGAGAGAGCTTTTTAAATAAAAAAATGAATTTTCTTTAAATAAAAATACCTAAACTACCCCTCACTCCCTCATACACTCTCATGATCGAACCCCTCTCCCCATTTCACGACATTTCCACGCCTAAGGAGCCGCCCCCTCTCCTCCTTTGCGATTCTTCTTGACGCCAAAGCCGCCGGCCTCTCTTCTCCCTCCAAGCTCAAGGTGATCTCTTCTCCTCCTTCCTCCTCCATTATTTTTCTCTCCCTCTTCTTCTTCTTCCTTCCCTCTTCTTCCCCTTCTCCATTTTTCTTTTTCTTTCATCTTTCCTCCATATTCCCCATCACTTTCTTCCATTTTCTTCCTCTACTCTCTTCTCCTTCCTCTCCTTCATCTTCTTCTTCCTCCTCCAACCTCTCTTTCTCAAGACATACACCAAACCCTAACCCTAATTCTTCATATCTCCACATCCACTCACCAAACCACCCACATCCCTTCACAAAAAATGTTCCTACACATATCCTACACCCATCCAATAAAAATATTTCACCATCCCTCACTTTCTCTCTCTAACCTAGAGAGAGAAAATTTTCTCTCTAGAATGAGAGTGAAATCTCTTCATGAATGGCTCCATCTCCACTCCAAGTATCTTTCCTCTCCACCATACCTCAAAATTCCTTCCCTAGAGAAAAACATTACTCTCTTTCTCTCTCCAAAATTGAGAAGAGAGGGATTTTCTCTCTCTAAATCACTCCTGTCACTTCCTTACACCTCATAAACCCTCTCTACGCAAATTCCCTTCAAATTCCATCTTTCCCTCCCTTTCTCTCTAGAAAGAGAGTTTCCTTCTCTTTTTCTCTCTCCAAAAATTAGAGAAAGAGAGATTTTCTCTCTCTAACCTCATTCCCCCAATTTCCTACACACCCTAAACCTCTTCCACCAAAAATCCTCTCTTTCCCTCTCTTTCTCTCTCTAGAAAGAGAGCTCTATTCCTTTTTTTTTTCTCTACACTTTGTTTTAAATATAAAAGGGGTATGTGATTAATTTTATTGCACAAATAATAAAAAAAAAATTAAATTGTACATTGCAGGTTCCTACGTTGCCGTCATCCGCCGTCGCCGCCTCGATTACTGCGTACCCAAGGTAAAAACTAGTATTTTACATTTCTGTGCATGAAATAAGTACTCGTGACCGCTTTTTTTAGCGGACGAGGAAACTTAAGTACCCGTGACGCTCTAGCGAGCGGAGAAATTCGTATGCATGAAACTTAAGTACCCGTAACCGCTTTTTTTAGCGGGCGGGGAAATTTGTTATTCGTAGAAAAATTATTTAATTAAGTACCTGTCACTGTTTTTAGACGGGGAAAATGCTATACTTTAAATATGTGCTCAAAGATCCTGTGACCGCTTTTGTTAGCTAGCGGGGATTGGAACTGTGGCCGCGGTGTCACCTGACACCTACCGTGACTGCCTTTCTTGGCAAGGGGGAAGGCCTTACACACTCCGATGCAGCCCCCTACGCGGGGACGATGCTGGAGTGCTGCTAAAATTTTTAGCAAAACTTATAACTTAGAAAATAAAAAAAAAAATTAAAATCCACTTAAAAGTTTTAAGTTAAAAAAAATAAAATATACGACACCCTAGGCTCCCGACACTGGAAAACAAATACAAAAGAAATATAAATCAATGTGAAATGCAACATACAGTGAGTCTTCAAGCGAATTAGTTGTTCGCCAATAGATAGGAATCATGCCCCTTCCTCCTAACTCTTGACTTGCACACCTAGGTCCCTCTCCACAAACTCCTTACAGAAATGGGATGAGAAGAAATGAGTTGAAACCCCCTCCTATTTATAACATTGAGTTTGAATTATTCGTGGGCCCCACTAGCCTAGGATCCCTTGCTACAAGACAGGGAATGTACACCTGTGGGCCCCACCAGCCTAGGATCCTTTGCTAAAGGATGGAGAAGGTACACCTGCGGGCCCCATCTACATAGTATCCTAAGATGCCATTTCGAGACTCTAGCATTGGATTCTTAGAGTATTCACTAGCAGGTGAAATACGAACGTAAATACGAGTTTAAATACAAGTGAATACGACTGATAATTATCTTAAAAAAGGAGGGGATAAAAGTAAAAAGAAAAATTACCTTTCCTACAAAATGCTTGTGATTGTAGACACGTAGGAATCCCCGCACATCCCCGGTAATTTTCTGATTGAACCCCTTGTGATAAAAAAATGTTCGTCACATTGCAAGTTATGGGTGCTCTAACTAGCGTGCGCGCCAGCTGTTAAGGTTAGGTCGCTCGTACAGCCCGTGAACATACGTCTTCAAAAAGAAACAAATCTGCGCACTTTTATGTGTCATGGGTTGTACGACCCCTAATTAAAGTAGGCGCATCACCACTGGAAAGTAAGTCGCCTACGAGCAAAGTAGGAGATTCGTTAGTGCACTACAATGCCCCTACAGAAAATAATAAGTAGTGCACGATAGTCTACCTGTACAAAGCAGCAAACAATTCAATCCATAAGCTGCTACAACCCGCCACCGGATCTGCAACATTTATGCAAGCAGACAGAAGGCGTCTACAACCTACAACTCATCGCCACCAGATCCGCAATACTCGTACTAGCGGACAGAAGGCGTGTACAAGCTCTCAAGTGAAAAGTTGTGTGCATTATAATGACAATTACCTACACAACTATAATTATTTCAAAATATCCCCGCACAAGTGCACCGTAGCTTGTATACACATAGATACACAAAAGGGTATGTCAAATCAATGAAATTCTAAAGCACCCGCATGGGCCCCGACGAGCGTGTTATTGGTACACACGTGACGCCTAGGGATACTGCGCGGGTCAACAAGTGAATTTAAGTCCGAATCTGATCCTTCTATACGGATCAATAGAAGTCGACAGGGTTCAGACCATCAAACAAATATAGCCGGTTGTGGCGACCAGTGTATTTGTTTTATGTTTTAATACATTCATGTTAGGCATTCAAGGCCTATAATCTAGAGAATTCACAAACAAAAACATAAAGCCTACAAGAAATCCGATCCTCGATCAACAGCTTGGCCGAGTTGACAAGGTTCAATCAAATAAATAGAATTGACCCCAAACATCCCGATGATGGCCGTGTTGAATGTGAATCTCAACCGGAGGGGTTAATCTCTCAGATATTTCAAAATGTCCTAAAGTTTCTACAAAGTCCAAATTTCACAAAAATTCAAAAAATCATCAAGCTCTAAGATATTTAAAAATTGAAACAAATCATTTATCGCTTAAAGCAAAATCCATCCACCATCCGCAACAGTTTGTCGGGGTGGACAAATCAAAATTTACTTCAGCTCACAAAAGAGCTAAATACCTAGTCGAAAGTATTACTAGGATCCATTCTCAAACAATCTTCTGCTAGTAAGGACGTGGTACGTGTCCTCTAACCAGCAGTTTCGCCGCCAAATGGCACTGCAGGTAAACAGTTATGACCCGGGACCCTCTGAACCGAGTGGTTTTGTCACCAAATGGTACCACGAAATACCGGTTATGGCCAGCGCCGT